TCTAGTTTGGGCGCGACCGGGTCCAGGCTTCGAGATGATCCTCTCCCAATGCGGAATCAAATTCCATCCCACCTGCGGCCACGTGTCAGGATTTCCAACTGGAGTAAAATTCCAATTAGAAAATTGATTAACCCAGTTCTCCGTCCAAAAGTAGGGATTATACAACGACACCGGTTGATCACCCCGCTGACGACACACTCGAATTGCATGAGAGCATGGTTTTCGATGTGTCTGCCACTTCCTACATGCACAACGCTGCTGCTCATAAAAGACCTTAAACCTATTTTCAACAATGATTTATATATATAAATTAGAAAATTACTAAACTCATTTGAATGGAAAAAAAAAAATACAATTACAAAATACATACCTGTTTTGCCATCTTCCATTGGCGCGTAGACCGGTTGTCACCATGTACTGGGAACCATCAGCGTCCACACAAAGCACCTCGTGAGTCACCGCCGTCTTTTCCAACTCCCGATAGGCGGCATAGAGGTCGGTAGGAATGGGAGTCCTGCATCCTCTGGACTTCTTTTGTTCTTGTTCAAACAAATCCAGAGTCTTGTTCAATGTGGCCTGTACCAACGCTCTGCAGGGCAGGAACCTAACACCTTTGAGGACATTGTTGTAACTCTCTGACATATTCGTTGTCAGAGTTCTCCATCGACGTCCTCCATCTTTGTACAGGGTCCACTTTTCTAGAGGAATTTTGAAAAGGTAATCGTATGCGTCCGGGTTACATTGATGGAGTTCCTGTCGACTCTGCTCAAATTTGCGGCGAGAACACAGTGAACCCAACCTCCAACATAAACCCCGGACTTGTTTAGTCCGGTACCTTGAAAACACGTTGCTCAGGAGGTGTCGAAGGCATATCCGATGAAATGCATGGGGTTCGTGCCAAGTCTCCAGTAATTCAACAGCACTCAATATGCCGTTGTCCCTGTCGGAAAGAAGACATATCGATCTTCCGGGGACGACATGATGGCGCAGATGTGTTAGGAAAAAGGACCAGCTAGCCGTGCTTTCTTCGTCCACAATCGCATAAGCGACTGGCAATAGACGCTTATTCGCGGTCTGTGCTATGGCAACAAGCAGCTTCCCCTTGTACGAACCTGCCCAGTTGGACATATGTTTTTTTTTTATGAAACACTATTGTAAATTAAAAAAAAAATATTAATTTGCAATTAACAAGTAGTTTCCCCTTGTACGAACCTCGCAGGTGCGTGCCGTCGATGCTAATAATCGGCGGGCAACGAACGAAGGTTTGAATGGCGGGGCCGAATGCCCAGAAGACAAATCTGAATTCTCTGTCTCTAGATTGCTTCGCCATTTCTCCACCCTGCCATTCCCACTCAACGACTGTACCGGGATTCGCCCTTTGAAGGGCGGCGAAAAACCTGCAAATTATAAAAGGTAACCATAAATAAATAAATATAGTTCAAAACAACACGTAAATACGTTTATAATTTATTTTTGCTTACTGAGGGAGTTGTGCGAAGTTCGTTTCCCACGTGCCATACAGATGATCAATGGCTTTTTTTCTCCCGTGCCACGCCTTTTTGTAGCTGACATCGACGCCCCAGGCACTTTTTACGTCGGCCTGGACCATTTCCACACTGTAGGTCACCTGCTTCTGAATCTTAGCCAACAAAAGATTTGAAATCATGGTGGCGGTCACATTCTTGTGGTCATTTCTCTCGAACACCTGCATGCAAGTGTGGCTATCGGTCCATTCGGTTACCTCCCACTTGCCGTGATCCCGTTTGTTAAGACTCACCCGGGCCTTCTATATACATGGACAACTTCATCTGATCTGCACACAACTTTAAACGACTTCTTGTTGGAATCTTTTGTCCGGACCGCCCTAAGTTTCTCGACATTCCAGGCATTAATACCAATCTGGGCTTCTTCCTTGGTATGAAAAACTGTACCCAATCGGATAGTCTCGACACGCCCATTCCAGGTTGGCAAGGCATACTCGTCCCTGTCTACACACGACGAGTCCCAATCACCCATCTCGCGATAATCGTAGAGGCCTTCATTTGGAAAGGGGTGTTCTTCAATGAATTCTTGTTCGCTCTCCTCATTAATTGATCTGTCCGATTCGGTTTCCGAGGTCTCATCCGTGAAATCGTCTTCACCGGGAATTTAAATCTTCATCTCCAACAATTTCTTCATCAATGTCCGGTCCTCTCATGGTAAAGCTCGTTCCTTCGCCGAAATTACTCGTCCCTTCGCCGAAATTACTCGTCCCTTCACCAAAATTACCGGCATGCGTAGTCCACGTATCCTCACCACCAAACATTCCTTCGTAACCATATGATGGCGTAGGATCCTCAACCTGTGTAACATGTGTGTTTGCTTCCAACACTATATGCAAAAACACATAGGACATAGGAGTAGAGTAGTAAATCCACGAAAGAGAATTATCATTATGCAGTCTTCCGGTAATAAACGAACCATCCTGTTGTCTCGCAATCATAGTAATATCCGAAATTGTCCAACTATCACGAAACCCACCATTTTCGTAAATCATATCTACCAATTGTTGATATGATATTATTCCATTAATAACAAATGAACAATCTGGACGAGACATATAATTCGAAAAATTCCATAACTCACTCTGGGGAATTTTCCAGTACACATTAACAAAGTATGGACCGTTAGACGACATTTATAACCTGTTACATAAAAATAATTATATTTTACAAATTACAATAACATAAAAAAAAAAATCAAACACCACGAGAAAATTTCAATTATTATTTTACCAATCTACATTTAAAAATTCAATTATTTTACCAATCTACATTTAAAAATTTAATTATTTTACCAATCTACATTTAAAATGGCTAATCAAACACCCGAGAAAATTTCAATTATTATTTTACCAATCTACATTTAAAA